GTTCTGAAGGCAAAAGGGGGTCCAACCCGTTACTAGCGTGGTGTACCTAATAAAGTGGCCGGTGAGTGTATTTTTACTATAAGTAAATGTATTTTTTTGTGTCTTGAAATGACCCGTTTTCAAACACCACCATTTGTGACGTCACAAACCGTTCTRCAACACACCCCAGTTCCACAGCAACTTATGCCCAACAGCACMTTCTGAAGAGAGCTAAAGAAAAGGCAGAACTGAAAACTGAGCTTCATTTTGTGAATTAAATCAAATTAACATGTTTTGTATAGCACACAGATGGATCTGAACTTGTTGTAGGACCCCCAGATTAGATAATCTTTAAGTCAATCTGAAAACAAACATTTTATCTAACAAAATAAAACCAGAAAAAAAATTAATAGAAAAAGCTGTTTTTGGGGTTAAAAAGCCTTTTTATTAAATAATATATATTTCAGTTTTTTTAATTATTTTTTTCTTGATTATTTACACACTTGAAGAGTTTGAACAATAAATGTCTTTTATTGTGAAAATTTATAAAAGAAAAAATAGATTTTGTCAAATTTTAAGATCAGTTTGATTTTTACCACAATTGGATACAGATTTTTTTCCCTACTTTGAAAATATTACATAATCATTCTCATATAAATAACTAGAGAAATCGTTGCATTTCCTGTGTGAATGCAGAAAACTTTAGCTGAAAGCTGCTGAAATGGAGCTGAAAATGCTGCCAGCTCAATTTGAAAAGCTGAAAGAAGCAAAATTAAGAGCTAAAATTTGCATGAAATATGCTAAACGTAGAAGCGACGAGTTGAAATTAGCACCCAGATTGTGAAAACTGTTGGAAAATATTATTAGCAAAATAAAGTAGCTAAAATTAGCACAAGGAAGTTAAAAAGAGCGAAGCAGAACAAAACGTAAAGGTTTAGAAACATTTTGAAGAATTTTAAGGATGTTAAACGGTTCCATTTATTTTCAATGGGAAAAAAGTGGTCGAAAAAGTGAAATAGCTAAAAAAGTATAAATAGCAGYAATACCAGAAGTCAGAGCTGGAATGTCCTGAAGGAGCTGAACGTTTTCATATATGAAGTGTTGAAATAGCAGAAATATTGAGGAACAACAAACGTGCAAAAATCTGAATAGTGTGAATGATTGTGAAACGTTCACACAATAATAATCCATCACTTCCTGGTTACTGCGTCACTTCCTGGTTCCCGGATCACTTCCTGGTGGCTGCAGCTGGTCTCAGTCCCAGCTCCCGGGCTCTCACGGTGGCCGACTCCACGGCGCTCATGACGGCCGCCCTCAGGCCCCCCTGCTCCAGCGCGTGAAGCCCGTGGATGGTGGTTCCACCGGGAGTGCAGACCTCGGAGCGAAGCTGAGCCGGATGCTTCCCAGAATCCCGTAATAATCTCCCAGCGCCCTGCAGCAGCACACCACCACCAGATTAAATCTGATCCAGTGTTTTTATTAAAACAAAARGTGCACGCCCCGTGAAACTGACCAGAACCGTCTGAGACGAGATGCTCTGAGCCAGAACACCTGGCATGCCCATTTTAACAGCTCCTTCAGCCAGAGCTTCAGCAAACAGGTAGACCTGCAGAGAACAGGTACAGGTGAGCAGGACCAGAGGCTTCTGATCAACAAACAGGATCGTTTTACTGAAGAGAGAACAAACTGCTAAATTAACTTCTGTCAGCTACTGTTCTGCTCATTTCGGCTACTGTTCTGCTCATTTCAGCTACCGTCCTGCTCATTTCGGCTACCGTCCTGCTCATTTCGGCTACCGTCCTGCTCATTTCGGCTACCGTCCTGCTCATTTCAGCTACCAGTATGCTAATTTTATAGTTCCTTTTAGCTACCATATTACTGTTTTAATTACTAGTTTGCTCCTTTTAGCTACTGTGTTACTATTTTTATTATGGTTTTGCACATTTTAGCCACTGGTTTGCACATTTAGCTACAGATTTGCTCCTTTTAGCTACCATATTACTGTCTTGATTATGGTTTTGCAGATTTTAGCCACTGGTGTGCACATTTTAGCTATTGGTTTGCACATTTTAGCCACTGGTGTGCACATTTTAGCCATTAGTTTGCACATTTTAGCCACTAGTGTGCACATATTAGCCATTGGTTTGCAAATTTTACTGGTTTTTGCTCCTTTTAGTTATCGCATTACTGTTTTACCTATGGTTTTGCACATTTAGCTACTGATTCGCACCTTTTTGCATCCTTTAGCCACTGATTAGCTTCTTTTATCTACCATATTACTGTCTTAATTACTGGTTTAGACATTTTAGCCCATTGGTTTGCACATTTTAGCCATTGGTTTGCACATTTTAGCCATTAGTTTGCACATTTTAACTATTGGTTGCAAATTTTACTGGTTTTTGCTCCTTTTAGTTATCGCATTACTGTTTTACCTATGGTTTTGCACATTTTAGCTACTGATTCGCACCTTTTTGCATCCTTTAGCCACTGATTAGCTTCTTTTAGCTACCGTATTACTGTCTTAATTACTGGTTTAGACGTTTTAGCCCATGGTTTGCACACTTTAGCTATTGGTTGCACATTTTACTGGTTTTTGCGCCTTTTAGCTACCGTATTGCTGTCTTGATTACTGTTTTGCACATTTTGCTATTGCCCTGGTCAGTTTAGCTTCTTTTACAAATGTTCTCTAATCTCTAAATTTCTACTTCTGGTAAATCGTCTTATTTTAAATNGTATTACTGTCTTAATTATGGTTATGCACATTTAGCCATTAGTTTGCACATTTTAGCTATTGGTTGCACATTTTACTGGTTTTTGCTCCTTTTAGCTACCGTATTACTGTCTTAATTATGGTTTGCACATTTTAGCCACTGGTTTGCACATTTTCGCCACTGGTTTGCACATTTTAGCTATTTGTTGCACATTTTACTGGTTTTTGCTCTTTTAGTTATTGTTTTACTGTTTTACCTATGGTTTTGCACATTTTAGCTACTGATTTGCACCTTTTTGCATCCTTTAGCCACTTATTAGCTTCTTTTAGCTACCATATTACTGTCTTAATTACTGGTTTGCACATTTTAGCTATTGGTTGCACATTTTACTGGTTTTTGCTCCTTTTAGCTTGCAGCTACAGCTTTGTGCTGTTGCCCTGTTCAGTTTAACTTCTTTTACAAATGTTCTCTAATCTCTAAATTTCTACTTCTGGTAAATCGTCTTATTTTAAATTCTTCTTTATATTAAAGAAAATAAAGTTGATAAATAAAATAAATAAAATCTTACGAAAGCCACCCCGCTGCCGCTCAGCCCSGTGTGGATGTCTATCCAGGCCTCGGGCCCCTCCTCCACTAACCCACAGTGGTGCAACAAGGACCGGATCAGAGCGCCGGCCTCTGGCGTGGCGTGGGTTCCTCGTGCGAACAGGAGAGCCCCCTCTTGGACCACGCACGGGAGGTTCGGCATCAGCCGGATGACAGCCGAGTTCTCCGGGAGGAGCTTAAAGCCAGAACAGAATTCATTTAGACCACAAACGAGCATTTATCTTGAAGCTCCGCCCACACTGCAGCGGTCACCTCCTCCAGCGTGGCCAGGGTCACTCCTGCTGCCACCGACACGATGACGTGTCCGTCCGTGACGTGCCGACAGACTTCAGACAGAACCGAAGGAACCAGGTGGGGTTTGACCGCCACAAAGACCACCTGCGACCCACAAACTACCTCCTCGTTGGAGTGAGTGACGGCGATGCCGAGCTCCTGAAAACGCTCCAGGTTTCTGGAGGAAGGTGCGCTGACTGTGACGTTTTCAGGAAGAACTTTTCCTACAAACAAACAAACAAACAAACAAACAGTTGATCAGACTCCATCAGATAAACTCTGCTTGGTGTTTAAAGTCCACTCACCAGGTAAGATGCCCTTTGCGATGCCAAAAGCCATGTTTCCTGCTCCGATGAAGCCCACCTTCAGCTGCGGGTCCAAGTCACGGTCCATTTTGATCTGAAGCAACATTAATGAACATCAAATTAAATATTTAAAAACAGCTGGAACATTGGAAATGAAAAGCACACGTGTGTAACTGATCGTTTTCTAATGAAGGCGTCAAAGAAAGCAGATAAATTTAAATTAAAAGCTCATGTCAACATTTATTGACGTTTTTGTAAACAGCAAAAACTATTAATCCTGTTATTCATTGAAACCATGTTAGTAAACCAGGATTAAATGCATAACAGCACAAAATAAAGCAATAAAATGATTGAACTGGTCAGAATAAACAGATGCTGTTTGGAAGATGTGCTGTTCCCTCAGCCCCCACCGGGGGGGGGGGGGGGGGTCTGGAACATCCAGGTCCCCGAAGATTTCCATCAACATTTAGTTTACTTTTTAGTTTTTTTTCCCTGTATTGTATTCACTTGATGTTCTGATTTCTAACTTATGCTCTGATATGTCCTCTATTAGTTTTGTACTATTGTAAATTGCCATACTTGTTTATACATGTTCTAATTAAAAAAAAGTTCTACTTCCGGATTCAAACTTCCGCTAAGCTAGGCTAATAACGCTAACGGGGATGGTGTGGCATCATGGTGTCGATGTCAGCTAAATCTGTGGCAGCGCGTTCTGTAAACTGCGCCGATAGAATCTCGACATGATTTATTAACAATTAAACATAAAAAACCGTCACATTAACGATGAGTTTGGCTGGAAATCGCTAATAATCCCGGAWAATTAGACGAAAGAATGCAATGAATGAAGGTTCATATTTGGATGAACAACAATGAAGCATCACGGAGTTAACAGGATTAAATCACCTGACTTTTAAGAGTTGATGAAGTCCGGTTTGTTTAAACAAAACTAAAAAATTAAATCTAATCTTAAACGAGAAGCTTCACACAACCCAACCAGTTCAGATCAAAAACAGGAGTGTTCGTTTTTATMCCGACAGCCTGAGGTGGGCGGAGCTTCAGTCGTCTGCGCGCCGCCATATTGGATGGGTTGTGTGTACTCCACGAATTTTTTTCTCACGGTTATTGCAACAAAACCTTCTTCAGCTAAGATGCTAAACTTACATTCTTAAATTCTTGAATTTCCAAACTCCTTCATAAAAAAATAAAAATAATAATAAAGGCGCAGTGAGTACAGCCACAGATATAAAACCTTTCTTTTAAATCTGTACAGCGACCACCTTTGTCCCGCTTCAGTTCAGTGGATCAAAAACAGGAGTGTTCGTTTTTTTTTTCAGTCCAGCTACCTCAGATGGGCGGAGCTTCAATCGTCTTTTTTGCGAGTGTTTTAGCACCGCATCACGTGTTCTGTGTATGCCGTGACTTAAATCGAACGCACCCAAAACAAGTGCTCAAAATGCCCGTTCCCATTGGCTGACTGGTGTTGGAGCAGATTTCAGCTCATTTCCATCAGCTGTGGAGCACTGAGCCTCCGGGACCAGATTCTAACAGGTAAACGGTTTAAAACGAGTCTTTATGTGGATAAATGTATTTATTATTTATGATTCATTTAGTTTTTCTTCTTTAGAGCCATTCCGAGTGTTATTTATCTCATTTATTTAGATTATTATGTGGTTTAAAAAAACAAATCTCATTCTGAAAACATGCTTTTTGGTTTTAGCCACTGTCAAATTATCTTATTATGCTTTAATGTGTAAAATGTGACGTCTGTCAGTTTCTGGCCTCCTGTGCAGAGCAGACATGCCTGGACAAGCCTCACTGTTGTTCTCTTGTTTAATTTTAAACTTAATTAGTTAAAGTTTTATCACGTCCTGCATGAAAGTGCTCATAGTGCAACATTTACAGACTTGATAAACATAATAAACCCAAACGGGTCAAATTCGGAAAGTTGTTTTAAATCGTCAAACATGTCTGAATGTTAAGMGATTAAATGTCGCCATCTAGTGGCTGCTTCCGGTATGAACCTAATTTAATCCAGGAGAGAAGCAGATTAAGAACTGTTTTTATACTTTTTCGTGTAAAACATGTAGATTTTCAGGATTATATAACAAGTCAACAGTTTGTGACCTTTTTTTAAATTAGCATCAACTGTTTGCTTTTATCTGATGTTTAAAGCTGTTTTTTTATGTGTTGGTCCAGACATGGACCACAGACTTCACTTCCTGCTCGCGGTCTGCGTCCTGACCTGTCCTCCTGTCAGCGGCCTGTTTGAGTGGCTGAAGGCCACCTGGACTCCTCCTCCGGCAGCACCTCCTCCTGCTCCTCCAGCGGCTCCTGCACCCCTCAGTGAAGACGCTCGCTTTGAGATGATGACTGCAGATGAGAAGTTTGTGAGCGAGGCGAAGCAGCTGGAGCTCAGCCCGTTAGACAGCTGCCACTACAAGGTCAGCCGTGTTCCTGGGTTACATTCATTTCATCTGTAGACAAACCTGCTGCTGAAGAAGGTAAAATCTGAAACGGTCCYTTTGTTTCAGAGAAAACTGAAAAATTAGGAATTAGAAATATCAATATTTTCTACAACCTGCTGAATGAGTCGCTAAAATGTGTTGAAGCTGAAACTGGATTAAGTTAAAATTATTATAAACTAACAAACCAAAAGCTAATTAGAACAATAGCTGAAAACAAGTGTGAAAACTGAAAAACAGCTACGAGCTACACTTTGCAAAATGGCAGCGACGAGCTAAGCTGTGCAAAACGGCGGCGGTGAGCTACGCTGTGCAAAATGGCGGCTACGAGCTACGCTGTGCAAAACGGCGGCTACGAGCTACGCTGTGCAAAACGGCGGCTACGAGCTACGCTGTGCAAAACGGCGGCGGT